CCGTGCAGTTTCCCTGGCTGTGAGAAGGTCAGCCTCGACAGGGAGCGTTTCTGCAGGCCGCACACGTCCTCCATCAAGGCGGCGTGGGAGGACGCCAAGCGCCAGGGCCCGAAGTCGCTGGGCGAGTTCCAGGAGCTGAGGAAGAAGGGCGGGGACAAGTGGATTGCCTACCTCAAGTCTTACATCGCCGCGTGCACGGCCCGACGGGGTGGTGTCATCCATTGGGGGGTTCTCTGTGTGGCGCTACATAAGTTCTTGCATGTTCTGTTTGTTCGCGGCATCGTTGCGATGAGATGGCGCCCATCTGGTCTTCTCAGCTTTGCCTCCCCAGGCCCCAGGCCCCAGGGGGGTGGCCAGCGGGGGCGATGATGGCGGCTGCGTGGGAGGAGGGGGGGGGGGGGTACGCGGGCGGGGCGGAGGAGGCGGCGGCGGGTCCAAGAGGGAACGACGTAATAAGGATGATAAGGAGGCGGAAGGAGCCACGAGAGGAAGGGGCGGAAGGCCTGTGTCCCCCTTGCCGCGCATTGTCCCCCTCCTGCCCGCCGTCGGGGAGGGGAGGCCAGAGGTCGCGGCCTTTGTCGGGGCAGCTTCGACGTGTGCAGATTCAGCCGCGTCTACGAGAAGATGCAGGTGGGCGGGGACGCGGGTGCCATTGCATGCATGCGTGTGCATGTGCATAGAGGTGCCCAGCTACAGGTCTGTACGCGCTTGCATACGCATGTGCAATCCACCCATCTAGTCTAGCGTATAGACACGCGTGTATGCAGGTTAGTGTGTGCAGGTGTACGCGTGTATGTAGGTATGTGTGTATGCATGTATCTATGTACGTCCGTACGTACGTATGTATATGGTTGTTTATGTTTGTATGTATATGTATAGTGATGTCCGTACGTACGTACGTACGTACGTATGTGCGTACGTATGTATGTATGTATGTGTGTATGTATATATATGTATGCATGTATGTATGTATGGTTGTTTGTATATATGTATGTATGTATGTATGTATGGATGTATATGTATATGTTCGAATGTGTGTGTATGTATGCTTGTATGTATGTATATGTATGTATACGTGTACGTACGCATGCGTATACTATGCATACCTGCATTGTTGTATGCGACTAATTATGGATGCATGTGTGCATACATGCATATAATGATCTGTATGTGTATGCATGCATGCATATATGCATGCATAGATGCATGTAAGTAAGTATGTGTATGTCCATGCTTTGTATGCGTGCATGCATATATGTAGGCATGTCTACATATGTAGGCACGTAGGCGTGTATGTCGGTATGTGCGCGCATGTGGGGATGCATGTATGAACGCAGGGGGGTCACGAGTGGGTGTATGCACATCGGGGCAACGATGCGCGGGGAGGTCAGCCAGCGCGGCCAGAAGGGCATCTACATGCACCAGTTCAAATTCTTGAAGTATCAGATGGAGGAGTTCGGCATCACCCGCGATGAGGCTCGCGATTGCAGTTGCTGCCGTCGTCGGCCGCACCGCCCCTGTGGTTGTCGCCATTGCCCGCCCCTGCCCCATGGTCCTCCCCCTCGCCCCTCGCCGAGCTCATCGCCCACCCCCTCTGAAGGGGGCGACATCCTGATCGTCCTTCTCCCCCTCCTTTCCTCCTCCTCCTCCGCCCCCGCCACCCTCTCCTCATCGCAGTGCTTGCGGCGGAGTTCCCGATGACATTATGCGCAGGTTCCGCCCCGAGTCTCCGCCACCCACCTCCCCCGTCGGAAGTGGGACTTCCCCGCGGTCGCCTGCCCGTCCCTGGCGCCGAGGGGCGGTCGGACGGTCGCCCGTCGTTGCCTGGCGCCGCTCCTTGCTCGGGCTGCTCGGGGGATCTAGAACGACATCCCCCCCTCCCCCTTCTCTTCGGATTCGGATTGCTGATGACGATGAGCCCTCTGCAGCAACCTCAGAATCATAATCAGCAGCAGCAGCAACCTGAGGTTGCTGCTGCTGATGATGATGGTTGTTGCAGAGGGTTCATCGGCCGCAGGCCCTCGGGAGGTGGACCCGCGATACAGCGCCAGGCTCGGACAAGGAGACGGATTTCAACGGCCCTGATGGGTCCATTCGTGTGCTCGTGGCGGTGGGGGACTTCGTGCGTTGGTACGACCCGTCGCGGGTGGGCAACAAGCTCGAGTGCGCAGATAAGGACGCGCGCAATCCGAAGGAGGCCGACCTGCTGAGGTACGAGGCCGAGCTCGACGACACGGACGCGTGGGAGAGCGACCTCATGAAGGCCACGACGGGCGGCCTCAGCTCGAGGGCGGCGGTCGGCGCCAGCACCTTCTTGCAGAGTAGGCGGAGGCCTCCGAGCGAGATGGGCGATGGCGACGGCGAGAGGAGCAGGTCTCGGAGCCTTGGGCAGCCCACTGAGCGCGCAACGCCCGCGGGAGGCAAGCGCGCCAAGGCAGGCGGCGGCGAGAGCGGCAGGAAGCGCGGCCAGGAGGACGACGACTGGAAGAGCAAGTCTGGCACTGGCACTGGCTCGAAGCGCACGAGGCAGGACGATGTCATGATTTCTGATGATTCCGACGTGGGCGATGGATCCCTCGGCTCGGATTGCAGCGACAACGACTGCCGCAAGGGTGCTGCCAGGTCCCGTCGGAAAGGCGGCAAGAGTTTCTCGGACGAGGCCGCCCAGATCGTTGCGAAGTTCCAGAGGAAGTTGACCAAATACACGACGGACTGGGAAAGCCTCAGCGAGCAGGCCGGCCGCGTCCTCACGGAAGCGGAGCCCGAGATTACCACGTCGTCCATCGCCATGTTGGTCAACAACGTGGTGAGCAAGGGCTGCGTGAACCAGGCAGTCTTCCACGGCGAGGCTGAGGACGGCCCCTGGCCATCCTTGGGCGAGGTCATGGGCGCGGTGTCCGACAAGCAGGTGGTCGCACTTGCAATCGGGCGCGTCGGCAGGGGCGAGCCTGTGAAGGACGTCAGGGGGTGGGTGTTGTACGCGCATGTACATCTACTACTACTACTACCACGACTACCACTACTACTACTACTACTACTACTACTACTACTACTACTACTAGTACTAGTACTACTACTACTACTACTACTACTACTACTACTACTACGACTACGACTACGACTACGACTACTACTACCTACGTGTACGATTTCTACTACTACTACTGCTACTGCTACTGCTACTACTACTACTACTACTACTACTACTACTACTTCTACTACTATGACTATTACTGCAGCTACTACTACTACTACTACTACTACTACTGCTGCTACTTCTACTACTACCGCTCCTACTATTATCACTACTGCGACCTCGGCCACTGGTAATACGACTAGTACTAATATTACCTGGCTACTATCACTACCACTACTACTTCTACCGTTACTACTGCGATTACGACTAGTATTACTACTACTACACATAATTATACTGCTCATACGACTACTACTACTACCACTACTACTACTACTCTACTACCACTACTACCACTACTACCACTACTACCACTACTACCACTACTACTACTACCACTACTACTACCACCACTGCCACTACTACTACTACTACTACTACTACTACTACTACTACTACTACTACTACTACGGCTACGGTTGCTGCTGCTGCTACTACTACTACTACTACTACGACTACTACGTGGTAGCTGTTATTACTAATGCATCTCCCCTCCTCCTCCAACCACTGCTACTACCAGAACTACGGCTGCTGCGTGCCCCACCCCCTGCCTCCCCCTTCGCACTCACCATCCTGCATTGCCTCGTCCTCCGTCACCTCCTGCTCCCTCGCGCCCCCGTCCCCATGCCCCATGCCCGAATCTCCATCGCCTCCCCCCTCCTCCCCCCGTGCCGCGGGGCAGGGAGGATCGCGTCACCCCGAAGTCCTTGGTGCAGTACTTCCTGTGGTGCAAAGACTACAAGAAGCGCAACCTCCCAACGGGCCACGCCTCCATGCGGTCGGTGGAGGCCATACAGGTGCAGCTGAGCGAGATGGCGTGTGCGGTCTGCGTTTCTTGTGCTGCTTCTCTGTTGCCGCCCGCTCGTCTGTCACCTCCGCCAATCCCCCACTTGCCCCTCGACCCCGCGCCCCATGTGGCTTCTCGGCCCCACCAGCACCGCTCCCCTAGACCCCTCGACCCCGCGCAACTGGGCCGACCGACGGGGGGCGGGGTCGGCGGTGCCCAGGGGCCGAGGGGCCGACGGGGTCAACGGGTCGAGGGAACGATTGTCGATGTGCGTCGATGGTCGAGGCGCGGGGGTTGCAAGGGTCGAGGGCTGATGGCGAGGCGTGGAGGCTACAATGTTCGAGGGCTGTTGGGGTCCAGGGGGGATCCAGTGGCCCATCCTTTCGCTGCCCTCCTCCTCCTTCTGTTTCGTGTGTTGTATTGTTTTGGATTGTATTGTCGGGGCCTTAAAGGCAGCATTATGTTTCGTGTGCTATCATTCTCTCGCTTCGTTTGCTGCCTCGTCTCTCCTCCTCCGCCTCCTCCTCCTCCTCATCATCATCATCCTCCTCCTCTGGTTCGCATGCTCCTCTTCTCCTCCTCTCGCTACGTCTGCTCCCCTCATCTCTCCTCCCCGCCTCCCCTCGCCGTTCTTCCTCAACCTTTCTCCCCCTCGCCTAGTTTTCTCTCCCGTCCGTGTCGCTGTACTTGGCGGCTCAAGCGCAATGGCAGCCGCGTGGCACGCCCTATTGCGCCTTCCCGCGGCCCCACCTGGGCTCCCGCGCCCCGATGTGTTGCCATTCGCGCCTGGGCTAGTTCCTTGCGCCGCGGAGGCTCGTCCGTGGTGGGCCCCCCGCGCCGTTGTTGTCGAGGGCGCGGGCGAGCTCCCCCCCTTTTGGTTCCTCCCCGCCGCGGCCGACGCCGCGGCGGGGAGGTACCGCCCGCCACATTGGTGGAAGTGGTTCCCTGTCAAGCTCGGCGGCAAGGAGGGGCCGCGAGCGCAGGGCCCATGGTGCCGCGAGGACCTCCCCGCGGCAGGTTGCGCGGACCAGCGGCGCCGCGCGCGGTGCAAGCACTTGCTCCTCGTCTGGGTGGACCTCGACGGCACGTGCCCCGCTCGCCGAAACGCGCCCCTCACACCCCTAGGATCCCCAAGGGTAGAGTCCCGATTGTTGCAAGTTTGTGCGAGCGCTTTCGCGCGCGCGTAGAGGTACCACCAGACGTGGTACACCGTGG